ACACCGGCTGCATAGCATTATTCGGGTCAAATGCTTAGAATCTCGGGTTGATTGCGAGGCTGGATCTTGTAACGCGCACGGAGTTCGGCGCCGAAACGTTAGCTGCCCGGTCATGGTGGGCGCAGGATGTGAGGCGCTGGTGGGAGGCTTGCGACAATGCTTGCTAGGGCTTGGGAGTCTTGCATGGGGCGGAGCGGACTCGTGTTCGCATAATGACATGTGTCTTTGTTTGTCTTGGGGATTGTTCGCAATGGAAAGATGTTGAAGTGGCACTGGGAGAGCGGCGCGGCTGGGAGAGCCAAACGCTAGATCGCATTCAGACAAGTCTCCATCTGACATCAGCGTCGCCCGCGGGCACGGCAGTTCGACAGCTCGGCGTTTTCAAGGAATGTACAACCACATCACAAGCAACCTACGCCGCAATTAAGAACACGTATCGTCAAAGAAAATAATGAGGATGAATTGGCTGAACGTGATATCTATGATGCCGGAGTCAAGCTCCAAACGCCGCTCATCCTGCTGCCGAAGCAGATGCTATTTATACATTCCAAAGAACACTTCGCTGATCTTTGGCATTGACCCAGACGTACTCCGTACATCTCGGGTTCGCCTTGCTCTTACCCAGGGTAACAGCAAATAGGTTGATCTCCATCCACACGGGTCGCATACCCATGCGCTCGAGCCTTTCCCACCATGACCTGAAGCGGCCAAAGTCTATGCTGCCACCGCCGCCCGCGTTATCGAGATTGATGCCGTCGCCGAGATGCAGTTCGATCATGACCTGGCCGATGGGCAGGACAGATTTTCCAGATGCGGTCTTCATGTTGTCGAAAGCATTCATCATCGTGTCTAGCGCGTCGTACTCGCTGCCTTCGATATCAATTTTCAGGATATCGATGTAGGTGTGGTTGTTCTGCTTCATCAAGGCGGGTAGGGTCCAGAATGGCGGGTCGGATTCATGCTTGTCCTCTTTGCCTAGGCCGACCTTCTTGAAGAAGGTGCGGTGGCGATGCTTCTCGGCGATTTGGGGGCCCCATGAGTCGACTGAGAAGTCGTAGCCCCAGATGCGGGCGCTGGGGACGCGCTCGAGCATCTCAGCTTCGAAGGAGGACTCGCCGTTGATACCGAAACTGTACATGACCAGGCCATCTTGCGCGTCCACGAGGGGTTCTTGCGATCCGATGGTAGCGGAAGCGGACTTGGGTGCGGGGAGACTCTCGTAGATGTTCATTCCGCATACCCATTTTCCTCCGTCACCGAGTCTGCCGACGCGCTGGATGTCGTGGGGGCATGTCCATGTTGGTGGGAAGAAGTCCCAGATTGTGAAGGGGTATTTGAGGAAGTCCATTGGGAAGAATGGAATCTTCGGGTTGTCCGGATGCGACTTGGCCATCTGGTCTCGGAGCTCAACGCTCTTCTTCCACGACTTTTCCGAGAGCGCTGATCGGTCTTTTATCCATGCTTGCAGGATGGAGGAGGGTTGCGAGGACCCTGTTGATGGGAGGACGGGGAGGTAAGGAAGTAGTGCCGTGCCAGCGGATTCTTCATTATGGAAAATGACGATTAGGAAAACGACGACGAATATTCCAGCGAATATGCGGGCTGTACGTTGTGTTAGCACGTGTTCAAAGGACAACGAAGAAGTTGAACCTACCACCGAAAGACCTGAACATCTTTGCAGGTGGAAAAGAGTGACGTGGGATTGGTGGGCAGAGTTGAGTCGAAGGAACGACCGTGATGTGTGACCTCCGAGTTGAATCGGTGGAGGTAACAATCGCGTCAAGCGTACACAAAGAGAGAAAGAAGAGTGAAAGAAGGAGGAGACAATAGTGAAGCCAAGGGTTTGAAGATACACGACAAGTAGGCCCCAGACAACTTGACTCCTAGTCTGGCGGCATGGTGGACATCGGTCCTTTAGATATGCCAAGGATACGCGAAACAAGAACAGCGGAAAGGCCAACAGTGTTACGTGTACATCTGCCGAGCGCTTATCACAACCAAACATCAGGTAGACCCCCGTTACAGATTTAGCATTGATCGAACAAGAACATCCAAGACCCGTACGGGCTAGATGTTACGAAACCCCGCTCAAGCCGCACGCCGCTATCTTCGCACCAGTCAGGATACCACTGCGACTAGTGGACGACGGGGAGGATGACTAGCCGCACGGCGGACGATGAGGCGGCGGGGCAGATGTGGGTCGATTGATCAACATGGGCGGTTGTTTCGTCCGTGTCTTTGTCTTGCTGCTCCTGCAGCTGAGGCACGGCGCACGCGTTTCAAGACGCACACTCCAGACGCGTCGCAAGCATGATGTCATAGGATCAATGGTATCTATCAATGGAATTGTGGGTATAATACATGTAAATCGCTATTTCGCGATGCGACTATCTTGGATGTTGCTCCGGTTCGCGCGAGGCTTTCTGATGATGGATGCGTACTCCCGAGGTTATGTTTAGTTTTAGTGCCATGCAGGGGGACAGAAAAGGAAAGTGGAAACTGTAATGAGATCATGTGAGGGTCTTGTGAACGACGATGGCAGCCGCCACCAAGAGCACGCTGCACGTGGTAAATACGGTGTCGCGATGCGCTTCGCCTGGACTCATTGTTAGTTTTAGGCCTCTTGTCCCACACAAAGCGGCGATGCTTACCTTCTTTCGTAGTGCTCAAAGCAAGCACAACGAAAACGTTGAGCGGAATGCGAAGAATGCCGTAAATGCTGGCCCTTGAGCCGTCCTCGACGAGCTTGCTCTTCAAAGAGCCCATTGCGGGGTAGTAAACTCCGCAGCACAGCTCAAATATGCAGAAGCACCATAGCGTGACGCGCTCGTCCCGGAAATGCCCAGGAACAAAGAAGCAGGCGGATGAGACTGCGAGGATGCCTGTCAGAATCTTTTGTGCTGGCACAGGTGAGGCAGATGTGGAGAGATGTTTGTAAAGGAGCGAACCAAACATCATCGAACACATCAAGATGGCGAAGATGAGACCAAATGGCAGTTCTGGTTGGTGTTAGCCTGGTTGTGCTTGCATAGAGTGGATAGAAGGCTGCTCACCATCTGTTGAGCCCGCCAACTTGTGACTGAGCTTCAGCGCCGGAAACTTGAAGAAGATAAATAGGAACAGAGATCCTTCGAAGAATCCTGAGACCAACGCAAGCATCATGATGTTGCGATCTAAATGTCAATTAATAAAGCAATCTCAGGTAACGAGGCTTCAACGTACCACGTAGAATAGTCCGGAGAGCAGAAGTAGCTGGAGGAGCTGGGGTGGCCTCTTCCTGCTGGAGCAGCCCCTCAGTCTCTGATGCTCTCCGACTGCTTGAACCGTAGTTCTCTCCCCAGAAGTTCGAGATGGCAAGGAAGGACAGGCTCAAGCACGCAATGGAGGCCATGAACGGCGCCTTTGCGGTGCCTGCCATCCTGACTGCCCACTCAGCGAAGATACCCGCACCAATGGCTACACATGTGTTGGACGTGGTCATCGTGCTGAATATCGCGCTGAGGTGCGGTTCACCATCGGGCAGCATGAGATGGTTGAACTCAGCAACTAGCCAGCTTTCGAAGACGCTCCAAAGGACGGTACCGCAAACACCGCCGAGGATGCGACCGAAGAAGAGAACGTAGATGTTGTTGGTAAGGAGAGTGGCGCAGGACAGAGAGTAAAGGGCGCAGTAACCCAAGCATGCTGTCTTGCGCCCATATCGGTCTGCGAGTGCGCCTACGAAAGATGCGGAGATGCCGGCGGCGATGAACCCAGTAAGGAATAGGAATGCGACTGTTTCTTCCGAGAGTCCTTTCTCATCTACATATCCGTTAGCGGTCAGTCTGTAGAACAGTAGTTCGTCCAACATACCCTTGTAAATAGGATATATGTACGGCCCTTGGAGCCAGTCCGCGGCATTGACGAGCAAATAAATAGGGAAGAAGCGCTTCTTCAGCTTGCTCAAGCCCTCTAGATCCGGCTCTACATGTTGATGCTCGTCTTTCTTTTCCGTAGTCGCAGTCTCTACGACGGCCGCCTTGCGTGAGCGGTGCGACTGGTAGAAAGCAAGTGCATTGAGCACTAGCGATCCAGCGAATGTAGCTCGATAAAGGTCCATGTTGAATGTGGACTTGTATTGTTGAAATGAGCGAAGGGCGACGGTCGGTGGTGGATGAGTGTATGTCCAGCAAAACACAAAGGAATGTAGAAGGTCAAGGTCTCGATTCGTCAAGATGTTGTAAACAGCACTAGCTCTGAAATGGCCCAGTGAATCGAAGGGATTAGTATAGAATGAATTAGTGTCCTTGTCCCGTGCCACTGCTCACGTTGTTAGGACAAGGAGATACGAACACGGTATGCTAACTTGATGGTGTCCCGAATAGAATAGCCGCTTTGTGCACTCGGCCAAGCTGATCCCAATCATGGACCGCGGAGCAGCACAGCGCCGGGCGTCATACATGGAGGTCCCCTCCCGGTACGGGCTGACGATAGGCTTGGGGGGCTTGCGCGTCAATAAGTGGAGTGACACACCACGGCGTTTCTAAAATGTGGGACGGCTGGGCGCGTCAATGATGCAAGGTCTTGGTTTGTGCGGGGTCAATGCGCCGTCAGGGGCGGCAGGAACAACCGACCGCGGCTTCGCGAGCAGCTGCCGCGTGAAACCAAGGGGGCTGGTTTCAGATATGACGGCACCCCATCGTGGATACATCCATCTTCGCACCCCTTTCAAAGAAAACATCAAACACCCTGGAGCCTACATTGACGTTAGGTCACCCACTTTGCACGTTTCTACATTGATGTAGGCGGCAAACCTGTTCAGTTTTCTTTTGTGTGAGATGTTCTCGCGAACGTGCTCTGGGTATCTGTGGGTGTAAACTGAGGGCGGTATTCACGATGAAGAGAAGCTTGGGAGTGCACATTGGTACATGAATATCTATTCCTTGGTAATTTGGAGCCTATTCAACCATCCTTGAACATCTTCCACCATCACTCATGTCTCTCACAATTCTACTCCTTGCTCAACCACCGGAGGAGCAGTACTGGGCCTTGGATCTCATACCCTCGAAAGGGCTCCGCTCCAGCGCGCGAATCTTCTCCACACATGCCTTGCAGGCCAGGGCCTCACAACCAGGACATCTCATGCCGCCGGTGTGAGCGGCCATGCAAAACACACAATGGTCCTCCCCACCAACCTGAACGCGCCATGCTGTGCTCTTGTAGACGCACGTCTGTTGGCTGCAGGGGTGCGACATCTGCACAACCATGCCATGTGCCTTCGCACCAGGCTTGGGAGTTGGAGGCCCGCCTTCGAACGGACTGAAAAGAATATTAGCAAAGATCAGGTTTGGACATGATGGATCCTACATACCTCTCATAGGCCTCAGGGTGCCTCATGCGGTAGGCTGCGTCCTTCTCCTGCCATGCGGTATACTCCTTGCCCAGGTAGTACTGCCAGCTTGCCTCGTATGGCTTGCGGAACGGCTTCTGAGGCGGCGGGCTTGCTCTACCAGCCTCGTAGTTGGCGGGGCCTTTGCCACCGGAGTTCTCGTTACCGGTATCATGGTTCGTCTGCTCAGTGGGAGCGCTAGTCTGGTACTTGTTACGCATGTAGGTGCGGTCGTATTCGGTGCGGTACTCGGTGTTGGTGAGCTGCTCGAAAGCTTCGCGAACGCGGCGGAAGACATCGGCATCTGCTACACCGGACTTGTCGGGGTGATGCGTCTTAGCGAGTTCACGGAATGCCTTCTTGATGGCATCAGTGGAAGCGCCAAGCTGGAGACCGAGGTCCGCGTAGTAGTCTTTGAAAGTGTTAGTGGCCATCGCGAAAGGTATTAGCAAAGAAAAGAGGTTCAGCGAAGAGGTTCAGCAAAATGATGAGGCTCTGCAAAGCAGTGAGGTATCAAGAGCTTGGTCAAAGTGGAGAGACGAGGCTGAGGATCGATCGAGAGTGACCCGGATATCTGGTCTATCTCCCGCTGCGATGGTCCTTTTGGTCCGCTTGCCTCAATACGGATAGGTGCCTGTCAGGCACCTACGATTACAAACAGTCACGTCTCTATTTCCGGCAGGTGCGCCATCTCCAGGTGACTGAGAGTACCATGAAGGAGAATCTGGGGCTCTCATTGGCTGCGCGACCGGAAATACAGGCTACGATGGTTGTACAGACGACGAGATTTGAGCAGAATGGCGCGATTTTGAACCGGAGAGAAGCTCCGTGTAGGCGCTATTGACTCAAGTGGGATAATGGCATTGTCGGTGTACAAACGGCCGTGTTCGCGAGGCATCGCGTAATCAGGTGATGCCGAGGCACTACCCGAAGGGTTCATGTCATACTGGCATACCTCAACATATGGAGCTCATCTACTCCAACGTGGACGTCGCGCTGTCGCTACCCCTTTCTACTTCTGATCAGACTACGTAGGTAGGTACCGGATCGCTCGCAGTCGACGCACCATCCCAAGGCCTTCAGTGTGAAGTCTCTATCAGCTCCCAAGCTATCTAGATAGCCAGGTTATCTCGGACTGCGCTGCTCAAACTCCGCATTCAGCATCACACGCCAGACGACCCTTCCATCTGCGCATTGAACATTTGTACTCGCGTTTGCTCGGCTCACATTACTTTGCGTCCTTCAGCTTCATGCACTGCTCCCTGTCGTTCGAACTACTAGCACAAAGGATGTCGGACTCGTGTTTGGCTGTTGTAGGCTGGACGCGATCAGGTCAGGGCTGCACAATATCATGGTCTTTCTTCATTTTTAGACCAGAGGACTCCACGCTCTGCAAAGCCCCCATAATCTCCCCGGACCGATCGAAGAATTAGGCACAGTCCTCGAACATAGGGTAGTCCTGTCCATTCCTTACGCCGAAGTCGCAATAGATAATAACATTAGCGCGGCAATAGGTGGGTAGGCTTGCATTGGCGTCCTGTGTGAGCCACATCTGCTTTGCTCAATCTGACGTCTTGCTCGTGGTCGACTTGGTATCTCGCATTCACGAATAGCATGAGAAGTGTGGCTATGGGTGATTGCGTCTTTGGCCTGGGCAGCGGAGATAAGATCTCGAGACATTCTTATGGGCCGACGTATTTCATACCGCGATAAGCAGCGACGATCACACAAGACGATGTATACTTTGGATTTGATCACTCGGCGTACAGTAAGAAGATTCCTTAGGGGCACAAGCCTTCTTTTGCGGCAATGAAGGTGCTCGTAGAAGATTCTAGATATACGTTGAGTAGGTCAGTCTTTACGTGAGAGTGATGCGGCGCGTAAGTAGGTATGTTTGTCGGTCTACGAACAGGTGATTAACGTCACACTATTGTCTCTCGTGACTCTCATCAAACTTATTGGGCTTTATCAGTGGCGCTCCTAATCCTCCTGCACAATGTGTACCCATCGCTCGACTTTCTCATCTGATTTCCGCTAAGTGGTCTTCTCCATGTCTTCACCTACTTCATTGACAAATGGTCGCTCCATGTCCGCACCTACTTTATTGACGAATGGTCAGTCCATGCCTCTCGCAGTGCAACCATTGCCCGAGCCGGCGGTACAAAAATGGGTTGTGTGTCACCGCATACCCCCGTATCACTTTACTCTGGGTTTCACCGGCATACGATGCATCGATCAGCATGCCTTGATACATCAAAGTACGTTTACAGAATGTGTCTGTAATGATCTTGGCACAGCGATAAACGAAGCAAATCGAAGGGCAGCAAATTGCGTCGCAAGTCAAAATGCGGGCTGGGTCAATGACGTCTCCCCAGATGGAAGGCAATACTGGATATGGAATCACGCTCAGCTAAGGAACTTTGATAACTTCATAGCGGTATACTACGTTGAGGGCCCGGTGGATGAATTGTGACCGAAGGTGCTGTTATGGGAATATCACACTCGCTGGTAATCTTGTACTCAGGGGTCTGAGACGAAGATCAATCCGGAGACGACGATTGCGATCTAGAATTTCGCTGGATACGGAAAGGAAGGATATAGCAGTACTCTATCAGTAAAGCGAAAATTTCATCTGGTGAGGTTCCCGCACACGGGTACTAGACTCAGACTCATACGTTGCAGTCTATGATTTTCGTCCTCGTTTCGTTTTGCGCATGTATCCTAGGTACCGTCGTGACTTGGAAACTGGCAAGTGAACATATACTCAAGCCGCTCGCCGCTAATAGAGACGACGAATTATAGCACATCGACCCTGTAGCTCACAGCACCTAGAGCGCGGTGATTACTGAAAGAGCGTAATTGTAGCGAATGACGTACTGGAAGAAAGGGAAAGAAAAGGTTCCGTGCGCCACAACGTGACTAAACCGGGCAAACGATTTTGAAGTTATTCCCAAGATATTCCGCCCGTCCTCCTTGATCGCACACAGAACCCTTTTGATCAAACAGGACCAAACAAGTATCTCCTTCGCCATGGCCGACAAGCGACTCCTCTTAGAATTCCTCAAGGCGCAGGATGCGTTGAGAGAGTAAAAGCCCCACTATCAGATTCTTCGTCTTCATCTAACACATATCCAACAGGCCACCTGCTATGGTCACTCTCCTCCACCTCTTGCCAAACAGTGGAAATGTCGCACAAGCAAAACTATGTCGAGATCTCGTTTTCGAACGCTCAGCAAAGATTGCCAAGCAGTGCAAGAAGATCCGCGAGGACAAGGTGGACATGAGAAGCCGGCCGCCAGGTCTCATCAGTGACTACATCGCGCTCCTTCGCGACAACAAGCCTCCCCGACGACAGTTTCCGACTGCTGGCGGGCAAACCATGGACGCCGTCGCTAGGCTTCGCTACATCACTTTGAGCAGTCTTTACCTCTTCTCCGTGGAAATGGAAGACTCTACCTCCGCTCAAATCGTCTTTCGCGCTATTGTAGACAACTTCCACTTTATCTGGCCGAATGGCTTCCGATACCACCCTGGACCTGACGTGATCAACCATGTCTATTACTACACTCTGGCTTGGGACCCCTTGCGCTATTTCCTAGCAGACTGCTACGTCGACTTCGCCAACATCAAGTGGTATATCCCCCACCGGAAGTTCCACAAGGACTTCATGACCAACGTCTCGTTGGGCCATTCGAGGCATTGTAACCTTGCACATGGCCCTTCCAGAACTGCCAACCCGCGGAACTACATCTTCCCCCAGCAGCTCGCTCAGACCGCAACCAACTCCGTCAGGAAGTCTACCCAGTAAGTACTTGTGAGGCTCACAGAATGAATAGAGCGCTAACAAGACGACTAGGCACGGTAGGAAGGGTCTTGGACGGCGCAGGACGTCGATGTAATTGCCGCAGAAGCATGTCGGTCCGATTGAGAAACCTCAGCAGACGAGAGGTGGGTATCATGGGGTCTTGAGACTGACAGCTTGGGTCGGGAAATAGATGTAGCGGTCAACAGAGGTACATCATGTAGTCAGATATGCATACTCAAAAACACTGCTCCAATGTGCAATTGACCAGCGTCCGTGTCTCTTTCCCAGGATACCTGGGTAGCAAGCTACGAGCTCCAGTTTCTCTACATCAAGCATCAGAATCGCCTCATTTCTGTCGTTCTCGTACCCATTGGTCGTATTGCTGAATTTCTGGAATGCAGCTCGCCGTGTCGATATGGAAGCTTCTCGTGCACAGCGCAGCTCACGTGCGCGAAGGCGAGGTAGCAGCTCTTCATTTCCCACTTGGGCGAGGTCACGCCTTTCGTGAAAGTGAGGCAAGGACCCTGTAATGATAGTTGAAGATGGAGATGATGGCTGTACACGCGCTGCTGCGATAACCGACAGCCTCGCGATGTTGTCACTGGGTGACGTCGCGGCTGATCAGGGAGATCTCGCCCGATCACGTTAGCGTGAAACTTCACTTGCGGACCCTTCAACCGGCGCAGCGCCATGCTTTCTTTTCTCACCTTATCGGCAGCCACGCGAAACCCTCAATCGTGACGAGACTACCTGCCCGAAAACGTCGAGCGACTTTAAATCTATTTGTCGCGACGCGCGAAGCGCATTGAAGTTCGATCGACGGCAGCACCCTCCGCCAGTCACGCTCCAGACGTGAGGCTTATCTACTTCTGTCGCGCTGCCGCAACCCCCGGAAGGACCCGCTCTTTTTTGTGCAGCCTGAGGAAACCTCACTACCGCTATTACTTAAGTCTCATATGTCAGGCCCAACATCAAACCCAGACTGGAACAGAAGCGGCAGTCCTGCCTACGGCACGTTCACTCGGCCACCGTTCAATCCGAATCCCACCAAAAGCCACGACAGTAATGACAGTGCTATTGCACCCTCCAGCAATGGTGGTGAGGAGGTCTCACCGAAGCGTCGACCTTCGCCTCAGCGGAAGCCATCAAAACACATCGAATTCAGAAAGTACCTGAAGCGCCCTCATATGATGGAGACGCAGAGGACGCTAAGCGATGCATTACGATCGGCAAAGAACAGGGAGGAGCAGGAGACTTTACTCCCCGAGGAAGACTACGCTGGATCTGATGGGTGCTTCAATGGACAGGGTGAGCCTATGATCCCTAGGACAGCCAGTACGCCTGGTTTGAACAACAACACCAGGACATATTTCAATATCCACAGGTAGGTCAACGCAGTTGATGTGAGTTGCACCGCGGATGTTGACCATGTTCTAGGATACGACGTCTCGTCTTGGCTGTCATCGAAGATCCGTACACAGTGGATCAGCTGCGAGAGCCTCGTATGAACGTTCTCATTGTAAAACCACTGGTCGACCGTCTTTACGATGAAGACGACATATCCATCGTGTACTGTTTACTCGTCAATCGCATGCAGTTTCTTCGAGAGCAGCAATTTCAGCAACATCATCAAACTGTCGATTTGACGCGTGCCAACCTTTGCGAGCTGGTCGCCATGAAGGTGCTGCGACGGCACGACGAAGAGTCTACGGGTAAAGCTGGTCTACTACTCTTAGCACAGATCATGGTCGCTCCTTTCCAGCCGTTTCAAGGCGCGCCCGAAGAGCGTTGTCCACCGCGACACATATCAGAGTACCAGGGCCAGGGTGACAATGAGGGTAAATTGACGGCGCTGGAAGTGGCTATCGTCTCCGAAAGTAAGGTACTACTAGCTGGCTCCGCGAGCCAAAAGGTCATTGACGCTATCTATCGGGGACGAATCGTATACACCCCGACCGTCTATATGGATATCATACCGGATCACTACAAGTATAAGCCCATATCGCTTTACGATCCACGCAAGGCACCGACACTCAACCAGTATCGCCTCATGGTACCGAGAACGCGCAACATCATCGAAGTTGTACAGTTCTTTATACTGCTCGCACTCTATTGCTGGTGTATGACCATGCGACAAGATCACTATCTGACTATTGCCGAGATCACGTTCTTACTCTACGGCAGCGGCTGGGTACTAGACGAACTCATATCATGCCTTGAGCACGGTTGGGAGGTACATACACAAGAACTTTGGGCTTTCCTGGACGTCACATTCGCCGGCATATTTCTCATCTATCTCGGCATGCGGTGCCATGGATGGATAACAAATCAAGACGAAACGGGTAGACAAGCCCTTGACGTTCTTGCTGTCGCATCCCCAATATTGTTCCCACGTATCGCATTCAACCTTATGCCCGAGAACATGCTGTTCATTGCTCTGAGGGCGATGGTCAAGGAGTTCACAGCACTGAGTCTGATCGCTGTATGGTGCTTTGGTGGCTTCCTGTTGGCGCTCAAATGGCTGAGCATCAGCAACCCCGAAGTTGGCTACGAAGACTCACCAAACTCCATCACTATCTCCAAATGGATGCTCTGGATCTGGTTCGGTCTGGATGGCCAAGGCATCGATGAAGCTCCTGGGTTCCATGAGATTCTCGGTCCTACCCTGATGGTGATCTATGCTTTCCTGGGTAACACACTATTCTTGACAGTCCTTGTCTCGATTCTGTCCAACACGTTCAGCAAGATCGCAGCAGATGCGACAGCCGAAATCCAATTCCGCCGCGCCGTGCTCACTTTCGAAGGTGTCAAGTCCGATTCGCTATTCGCCTACCGCCCACCCCTCAACCTATTGGCGTTCATCATTCTACTCCCTCTCAAATTCATACTCTCGCCCCGCTGGTTCCACAAGATCAACGTCTCAGCGATACGTATCTCGAACTTCCCTATTCTCCTCGCCATCAACTACTATGAGCGTAGGTATCTGTGGAAGCCCCGTCGCCACCTCAGCATCAACGGCCCTGGGCCCTCCAAACGCACAACCTGGCTGCAAGACATCGGTTTCTGGAGGAGCTGGAAGCAATTGAGTCCGCACGCTGATTTGCAGGCTGTGTTCGAAGAGGAGCCACCAGAGGACGTAGTGCATAGAATCGAAGAGGAGGATGACCTTGAAGACGCTATCCTCGAAAACAGTTTCGCAGCGAATGCCATGGGTACTCGTAGTGTGAGTCCAGGAAGTGCAATGACGGGAAGAAGGAGGAGATTGAGTAGTGTGTGGCCAGGACCGGGCGCTTAGGAAGGATTTCGGCGGTCTACACGCTAGGTCATGCCTTGGAGGTTCGCAGCTGTTTTTCCCGAACTATAACGACTTTCGGTACCTCGTCTTACCCCATCAATTCAACCCGTTTATCCTCAATGAACATGTGTATTGTCGCCTATCAGTCGCTTGTCTATTGGGCCCGTCGCGATGCAGCACCCCACTCCGTACTAACGCCGAGATCCGCACCCAACGTCAAGCTATTACCCCCAGCTTATTGCGCATCGAACCCGTTCGAGATAGCATCGCGACGATAGTAGACCTCATTATCCCCAGAATATTATCCAGCTCACCTCTGACCATCCGCGGCCTTGCAAAACTGTGCTCTTGTTCGACAAAGCTGCGCGGCCGATCCGCACCGCACATTCTTTCTCCGGCGGCTAACGCCTACGGCCGATAAGCATCACCACAACAAACTCTGGTAAAGATTCTATCTGGTCTTGCGCCGAGAAGGAAGAGAGTGACTCACGACTGGGTGCCTGATCTAGAAAATCTATGCGACAGTGTTGATTGAGGATATATAAAGCGCTCCGACAGCTTAATCAAAAGAGTAGCATCAACACCGGCCACCTCGATCTCTCAATTGAAACGCGGAACACCACCTCAAGTTTCAAGATGGCGGACATCAACCCGCTCCCCTTCTATCCGCTCCCTACGCGCGCCTCGCTACTATCACAGTTCCTGGGCAAGCAGCTCGAAGACCTGCCCACACCAGCCATTGTGCTCGATCGCGCCATCATACGGCGGAACTGCGATGCGATGCTCAACATCTGTGCGGAGCTCAAGGTAGGGTTCCGCGCCCACGTCAAGAGCCACAAGACGCTTGAGCTTTCTCAGATGCAAGTGGGAGCAGAGCAGAGCCAACCAGCGAATTTCATCGTTAGCACGATTGCGGAGGCGGAGAACTTGTTGCCGTACTTGTGCTATGCGCAGGGGGTGGAGAGGGAGGCTAGTGTATGTCCCATATATCACAATCACAAAGGCACCACTGACGTCTGCTCTCAAGGTACTTTACGGTGTACCAGTCCCTCAATCTGGTATCCCGCGTCTCGTTTCTCTGGCCTCAAAATTGCAGCCGAGATCCGTCAGTGTCATCATCGATAACGAGGCGGCTTTTCTCAAGTTCCACGAACGACTCGCTGCCTCTGGAACGGAGCTGGAGATAGGAGTATTCATCAAAATCGACACGGGCTATGAACGCGCTGGCATCAAGACTTCCTCTCCGGCTTTCCCATCGCTTGTCAAGACAGTAGTAGAGAAGAGCCAGGAGCCAACATCTGGATGCTTTCTGCAAGGGTTCTACTCGCATTTCGGACACTCGTATGGTGGATCCTCAGAAGACGATGCCGCAAACGGTCTCATCGAGGAACTGGTGGGTTTAGAAACAGCAATCAAGGCTGTTCCCAAGAGCTTTGATGGAAAGTTGGTGCTGAGTGTGGGCGCAACACCTACCGCGACAGCAGCACAGAACATGCTGTCCAGCTCTAGCCCCAAAGTCCAAGAGTTCCAAGATGTGCTTCGACGTCTGCAGAAAGACCACGTCGTCGAGCTGCATGCAGGGGTATACCCGTTGCTAGACTGCCAACAAGTCGCGACACATGCTAGGCCATCGACTTCATCTAGTGGAGCCACGTCGTCCTTCCAGCCTCTCTCAAGATCTAACATTGGTATTCGGATGTTGCTCGAAGTAACAAGTGTATACAATGAGCGATCGAAGCCTGAAGCTCTAGTATCCGCTGGCTCTCTAGCGATGGGTCGCGAACCTTGCAAGTCCTACCCGGGATGGGGTATTGTCACGCCTGCACTAGGCAATGCTTCCGCTAAGCACATATATGACGAGCGAGAGGGAAAGACGGGATGGATCGTTGGACGCATCAGCCAAGAGCATGGTATCTTGACCTGGGAGGGCGATAGGAGCGAATGTAACGAGTTGACGATCGGGGATAAGGTTATGGTTTGGCCAAACCATGCTTGTGTGGCTGGCGCTGGGTTCGGGTGGTATCTTGTGGTCGACTCGGACGCGGGTGGAGATACGGTCGTGGATGTCTGGGCCCGATGGAGGGGCTGGTAATCGGACATAGGCGTGGGTGGAGGCGTTATGATCGCTCGATATTACTCGGCTTCCGATGCTATAACCCATGTCAATATAGTTGTAAGAGAACCCCATTCATACATCCAAAGCGATGCTGGGTGATGGGACTTGTATGCCCTCGTATTGTCTGACCTCAACCGGCGTCGTCTCGACTCTGCGCAGCCAGTATCGCGCGTGGATGGCAACAACTCAAAAAGTAACGAGTCTGGCGTCTCCAATTGCCCAATCTGCGCGTGTAGTTTGATGACTTTGACTTTGCTCACACTCCGAGTTGACATTCCTGCAGGCTTGTACGACTCGCGCAGCATCTGGTCCTGGCGCTGTCGGCAAGAAAAGCCGCTGACGACTTCCGCCAGTATTGTCCTGCCCATCGCGTATGTGTGCGCGGATCGTTCTGCAGTCTTCAAACCCATCTGATCCGATCCGGGATGAGTCGCATTTCGCGGCGTATAATGTCCGGCACAGCTACATCTCGTTCGTCGGGTTCGGGTTGCGGCGGCGGGATGGGAGGACACGAGTTTCGTGGTTTGCTACTGTAGCGTTGCAAGAGTGTAGTTCGCGCCGTTGTTTCTTGTAACGTTGGTCTGCATCTTGATCAAACTTTCTATTGTTGGTGGCTACCAGCCACTCTCTAGCCCAGCGCCAGAAGCATGTTGCACGGGTTGATAGATGGAAGAAGTGATGGTCGCTGGGTGAAGCTTGCCGATCGCGTGCACTGTGATTGGATGCTCGTGACCCGTAATATGCTTGCCAGGCACAAGCACAAGTTTGTAGTTATGCGCGTGCATCCCAAAGCTTGGGATCCATAGCTTCCCGCGGAGATCGGCCAGGAACCGTGGCGCTTGGTAAACTCACGTTGGAGCCCATTCATGACGTCTGCTATGGGTTGCGCCATTTGGCAGCTAAAACATCAATCGGGATATGATAAGCCTCGGCACTTGACCTGACCGAGTTGGAAAACGGCGACATGGCGGGATCGTCGCTCAGGGCAGCCATAGGAAAGCTTGGGGGCGTTCCTGGGTGTGTTGCTGGCGGCTGCAATGCGTCTTCTAGCGCACACAGTGAGGATGCCACGGCCAAAATGCCAAACCGCCAAATCACCTGCTCGACACGTTGCAGCCAGCTAAAGGCCGCGGGCGGTCTAGAAAACGGATATCTGTAGTAAAGGGCGCCGCTGGGGATAGGCACTGCCAAAGTTTATTCTTGTTTGAGGCTTGCCCGTCTGCTCCTAGTCGTGAAGGCTGTATGGTGGAGAGTAGCCATGGCTTCCCCGCCCTGCCTCTGGATACCAACCGTCTCGGGCACTAAGGCATCCGCCAGCCTGCTTGCGGGCAAGCCTCCTGCACTACCTGCAGACCTCCTGGCGACCAGAAACCCCCCGTCTCTGTGCCAGATCCCAGGCTGATCTGTGACCTGTGACCTGATGACTGACGAACCGAAGGGGTCCTTGAACCTTAGGACCGTGTCCAGTCTTCCTTCCGCCATCTCCGGCACCTTCAGCATTTCCATCCCCTGCGGCGTAGACTCTGCACACACAATGCCATCCTGCACCATGCGTCTTTAAGAAGGCCCGACGACGATACACCCTCCAGCGCCCCGGCCTCGACAACCCAGTGTTTCGTGCTTATGCACAGCCCATATCCTTGAACTGCGAGTTTGGGCTTGCATTGGCTTTGGCTTCTGTAGCACCATAATCCGAGCTGGAGTAGCATCCACTCGCTACTCGCCATGGTTCCTTTTCGACGCTTATCGCAGAGGGGCCGTCGCAGCTTCGACAACCGCGACTCCTACGAATGGCAAGACGAGCGAGACAAACGCATCATGACGGCCACCTTCCCCATACACCCCCTCTCCTCCATGCAGGCGCCCTTTGAGGAGTCGATGCTCGACGCCACTGGCGAAACGGGGCACGTTCCCTTCGCCATTCCCAAGAAGAGCGTTAAGACGCGACAGCAAATGCTGTGCAGAGAGGAGAATGCCTCTGAGCCCTCGTGGAACTTCACATACAACTGCCACTGGAGGAGCAACGCAAAGGGCAAATTTCATCCCCTAACAAAGACGGTCGCGCAGATCATCTTTGGTGTCCACCTGCTGCATCAGCATCTGGAAAAGTCCGTCGCCGATGTCGCCGACATATTGCTCAAGCATGTCAATGAGCTCGACAGTTTCCTGCAGCGGGCGAATGAAGACCTCGAAAGCAGCATGAAGGACATGCTGTTCCGGCATAAATGTCTAAAGGTGCCCATGGAACACGTAAACGAATTCGATCGCCTCCTCGAAGACCGCTCATACCGCGCCCAACTCCTCGACGGCAACATCGTAATCGAACGCACCATTGGGCGCATGTCGCAACTGCTCAACGACTACCTGATCGACATCAACGTGTTTCGCGAAGCCAACCAGGAGCTCGATCTATACCTAGGCGATGTGGGAGACGAATGGACATGCCGCAATGAGGATATCGGGCGCATATACTCAGCCATGTGTGGCAACACCGGAGGCTGGTCGCAATTCTTGCAAAGCCTCGTAGCAAAGGCTGAAAGGCTGGGCGTTGTGCTCGTACAGGTCAGCAGTTATTGCAATGAGATCGAGAAGCGGTGTGGCGCTGCAAGTCGCAGAAGTTTGGTATGTTCGCTGCCGGAATCTGCTTCGAACCCGCTTCGTGGGCTATGTTCTCAGCTGGAGCTTCGCTAACAGCCCTAGATTGCGACACGTACATCTTCACGAAATTCGTCCAATTCGCGCGAGGCACGCCCATTTCGAAACTTTGCCAACAACAAACCTCTTCCAACCCCCCCACCCGAACGTCCGCCATTCATGAGCGCATCATCATCCGGTAGGGAGACGCCTGCCAGCTTTGGCACACCCCAGCGACATTCGACTTTACGAGCGAGGCCGCAGCAGCAACAGTACCAACAACAGCAGCAGCAGCCCGAGATCACAAACGCATCCGATTCCACCACAGAGACGCCCAAACGGAGCGAAGACTCGTCCTCTGCGTCTGCCGGTTCCAACACAGACGTCGATGTACGACGTCAGGCAAATCAGTCCGGGTACTACCGTGATGCCTGGCGCAACGACGAGCAACGTGACGGAGCGACACCGCATGCAGAGTCTAGTCGTGCAACACACGTTCCGGGGCACCAGCATAAAGTGTCTTCGCCATCTAACCTATCTGCAGAGGAAAGCGCATCAGCAACGAAACGCATGTCGGCTAAACCCCAAAACGGAGAATACAGTCCGCCTTTGACCGGCAAAGATTCGGCATATTGTTCTGTGTCGGGCGCCTCCGCCGTGTCACCGGGCTACGCATCGCCACGCTCCGTGTCCTCCATGTCCTCGCGACAAACTGCCCAATTTGGTCTTTTCCCTAGTCGAAACTTGAGTACGCCGAAAGGTTCCATGTCGAGTCGACTAGGTGCCAGCTCTCCTACGTTCAATCGTCCTGAGCAAACCCCCAAGGCTGCGGACATGCCAAGCCGACCACCAACCTCTCTGTCCACGTTCTCAGATGCTTCGAACAAGCGACTTTCCAAGCGAAGTAGCTTCTCATCTCTCAAACGGCTATTCACCAAGAAGAAATCTGGCGATATAGGTCCTATCGCCGAGTGATACCCTCTAGTTTGATCTTTGTTATCCCTTGTCCCGTCCTTGGTCCTCTTGTCTGGCGTTGCAAGGCTATATACCCCTTTGACTTTGCGTTTCTGTGTATTACGCAATCCAAATCTCATAGTCTTTGCCGTGGTTCTGCCCAGCGTTCTCGATGGCTTCGTGGGGCTTTCGCATGTATATATTTTCGCCCCGGTAGATGTAACGCGGTAACGAGCAACGTGTAATGTCTTTAACTTCGTGTGCGGACGTCATCGCGGCAGAAGGCGGCGTCGTGCGGAGGACGTCGGTGATGCGGTGGTCTGGTGTGCTTGCTGGGGGCAGTTTCGGAACGGGTTGCTGTTGGATGCTGCGCTATCCTGCGCATGGTGGGCAGCTGGGGTGCGAGAAGGAGAAGCGAAGAGCTGCTGGCTGCTGGCTGCTGGCTGCCGGTTTGGCGCCACGGGTGGTAGGCCCGCCGTAGGGGTAGGTATGGGAAAGCTGTACGCACAAGTAGGTAGGGACCATTCTCATATGCATCTCTGCTACTGACCCTTTCTGTATCGTCTCTGTATTCCTTCTGTGTCTGATGTCTCTGCCTTCCTCTGCGAGATGCTGGCGGGGTAGGGGTAGCCTTTGCCGTAATGGACGTGAAGGAGGCGCGAGTCTCGCTATCAAAACAACGTCTCCGCCGAGCTCCCTCCGTCTCCTCTACCTTGCCCCCACCCACAACAGCACCACACTCGACAGCTTTCTCCTTTTGGCGGAGATGTTGGCGAGGGTTGTGTAAAGGTCACCCGCTTTTGTCTTTCTTGGATACTCGCCGCCTTGTGCAGTATCGCTTCTTCTTTTTGGTTATACCAATAACTACCACATCTTTTGGCAGCGCCGCAATCAGGAGAGCCACCACTGCAGCAGCTTCGCTCACGCCCTGCGTGCAACCTTTGCTTGCTCTCCTCGCAGCGACTTTCGCAGCCGACGGCAGTATGCCGCTTTTCGATCAGGATCCCAACGGCGGCGGCCGCAACTCGCGAGCCTCCAACGTCTCTGCCATGAGCCGAGCATCAGGTAAACCCGTATCGCGGGCACCCAGTGCAGACCTTCAACCTCTTAACCGCGGCGTCACGTCCATGCTCCGCACCGAGACCGAGATAGGCGACGTTAGCATCGGCCGTCCTAAGTTCGACGACTTGTCTGCCATGAGCAACGCATCACGTCCGCTACGTTCGCGCGCGACCAGCAGGATGTCGCAAGTTTCTTCCACGTCCAACACTTCCAGTCGGGGTAGCAAGCAGCACTTCCGTTCTTACCCCTCCTCGTCTTCTGCACCGCGCCAGCCAATGCAACACCATGGGCCCGTGTATACTGCCGACACGCTGTCTCCAACGATG